ACTTATATTTGGACTATTGTAGCCTGGTCGGGTCGTCACCGCTGCGGAGTAACACATACCTGCGTGAATCGCCATAAACTTAAGAGTAGTAGCTTTGGTTGGAATGTTCTTCCGCGGGATGTGTGCAGTTCTGTTTATTAACCGCTAGAGCGCCAAAAGTTACATAGTGCTGCTTTAAATATCACAATCATTTAAAATAATTGTTTTCTGTTTTAATATAGAATTTTTAAATTTTTTTTAATGACAAAGCTGAATTTTCAGCAGCCATTACTCCAGTCTCAAGTGTAACACAATCTTTCAGAAATCATTCTAATATGCTGATTTGGTGCTCAAGAAACATTTCTTCTTATTATTGCCAATGTTGAAAACAGTTGTGCTGTGTAACATATTTGTAGAAACTGAATACATTTTTTAGGATTCTTTGATAAAGTTCAAAATCTTTTGTAACATTATAAATGTCTTTACTATCACTGTTGATCACTTTTATGCATCATTGCTTCTTTTAAAAACAAACAAAAAAATCCTACTGACTACAAACTTTTGAATGGTAGTGTAGCGAAGTATAAATTTGTAAACTAATATTAACCTTTTCAATGATCATATCATAGAGAACTGTGATGATTCTCACACGCAGGGATTCTGCCCCTGGTGTTTGAAACAGTTCGCTAAGCACCTGCACACCACCAAGCTTCAAAAAGTGACTTTGTGCAAATGGGAAGTGACGCAGCAATGAGGCCACAGCATATAACACCTGCAATAAATCAGAATGTCATAGTTAATGATGCATTCATCTACATTAATACATGATAACGACAATTTAATTTACTATTCATTAACAGCATAATGCCCATGGTTTCTGGTTGGTCATACCTTTTTCTTTACCGCTGTTGGTCGCTGAGTGGCAAGCAATGTCAACAGTTTCTGTAACGCGCCACCTTCTATTGCCTCAACTTGCACTGATGGATTACTAGAAAAATGTAGTTGAAAATGGATTGCGTCAGTGTAAAGGTGCATTCACATTTCGCAAAATTTCACAGGCAAAAAAGGTCCATTGACTTGTCAATAGCATAGCAATGTATGAAGCACAGCTCACACAGAAATCCCTTTCAAACCAGTCAACAGAATCCGCTTGACCAACTTGAATCTGTTGCCAAATTTGCGTGGGGAAATTCCTCCTGATTGCATGGATTTCTAATGAAATCATTGGATTTTGCACACAAAAATTCACTGAACAACAGTACATGTGACCACACTTTAAATCATGTGTAAGCAGCAGTTTTGATGAAGAAAATACCACTTACCTTGAAACAGCAGATCCAAGAACAAACGCAGCACTCTTCTGGAGATGAATGTCTGTACTGTTTAAAGCATTTATAACCAGTTGCATTCCTCCCATGGACACCAAATTCTGGCCATTATCTACCTATAAGAAAAAAACAAAACAATGGGATTCAGTGACTTTGAGAAGCAGTGAACTGTACAAGACATTTTGCTTCATAATCATAACTGAGGCTTGACCTGATGCACAAGGTACTCCAAGTCAATAAGAGCTGTGACTTTTTCCTCAGTTGTGCTGTTAGTATTATTTAATTGGTTTAAAAGCCTCCTCATAACTTGAACATCTGTCTCCATTAGCATGTCAAGTGCCTCCATGTCTTTTTTCAGCTCTTCGATGGGGCGAAATTGGGCCCTCACTGCATCTTCGTCCTATAATCATACATCTTGATTAAAAAAAAAAACTCAATAAATAACAAAGGAAAATGGTTAGAGATAAACTGAAATGCACATACTTGTTTTGTGTCCACAGGATCATCCATTCCTTCTTTATAGCTTTTCAAAGCCTCTTTCAACTCCTCAGCCGTGAATGAGGGGTTGTGTGTGTTCATCCCTTGCCTGCTCCACAGAGGAAAAAAATAAGCATAACTAGCTATATGATACATGTATTTATTTTAGAATACTACATTATTCTATCACTATACCTATTTCCATCTCTCCGGTATTTGAGACCTTCCTCCTCTCCCAACTTGACCTCTCTTTGGCCCGTCTGAATATTCAATCTGACATGAGAGCCTGCTGGAATTGCTTGACCTAAATTGAATTACAGATAAATAAGGACTTGATCAGTTAATTATCTATTTATGTAAGGGCACAAAAGCCAGCATGGGAATAAACACCTGGTTTTAGAGTTTGCCACTTGTCTGTAGGTCCAAACACCTCCAGATCTTCAGAATCCTCATCCTCTAGTAGTGTCTCTTCACCCTGGCTATGATCAGCAGAGCCTTCTTTGATAGACAGGGCTGTTGGTGACTGCGTAACCAAAAATAATAGTTATTAAAGTGTTACAGTAAAAGTAATACTAAGATGTGCCGAAGCAGATCTCACCTTCACATTGTGGGCACAAATGAGATGAAGACCGACGAGCCATAGGGCGATTGACAGTCCAAGTCGCCACTTCTTTTTTATAATACGTCTGGTTATCATCTTGGACAAAGAAATTGCAATATGCGCGCAGATAAATTATGAAAAATAATCTGATAAACAATCACAGGTCATCCATTGCCAGACCAGCCAAAACCAAAATCCATTCCCAGACTTTGACGATATTCGGTTATTAAATTAACTCATCCTGGATTTGCCCGTTTTATTTAAATTGTTAACATGCTGAGTTTAACGACTGCACCATCCAAAAAGAAACAACTAGAAACCAGCACGTGCATTTCCGTAGTCCATCTGGACGGAATACGTGAACCAATCAGACAAATGCAAGTGTGTGTTTTCGGAAAACGTCATTCTTTCTGGTCGCGATGATTGGCTAAAGGAAGATGCACCTTGTCCTGACGCAATCAAAGGCAAGTTAAACCCCCGTCCATGTCTATGGTTAAACCTACCCCTTTTTAAAACAGAAAAAGTAATTTAAATATTTTTATATTACGTTTTTAAAATAGTACACAGCTATAATTTTAATGTAAACTTCCTGTGAATTACCTATATGTGAATTACACAAACAGCATAATAAAAATCTATAAAAAAACTGTTTTTTCCGGTTCCAAGACAACAAATTGAGAAAAAGAAATCAACAATAAGGCTATACTAATGATTATATAAACTAACCATTTTGCACAAATGCAGCTGAAGCAGGACATATTATGAGAAAATGGCAAATACTGTACTCAATAGAATAACACAGTGGCTTATACACTGTTAATCAATCACAGTGTCTCACAGTGAAAGCCAAAAACTGAAGACCATAGCAATCTGGCTCTTATTGTTTGTTTGTAAACCACTCTAAAACATAGAAATAATAGGTACACAGCAAGCTGAGTACCAGAAATTAATGAATTACTAATCAGGCTGCATTAATTCACCTTTTTTTATTCAAACAGTCGAAAATAGTTAATTATTTTACAGCGCTTATTAATACATGTAAAAAAATGTAAACTGTTTTACAAATCAGGTGCATAGGCAGGACAAGCCACAAATCAAATAATGATGTAAATTATACACCTGTAAAATTCATACACAATATCTTGTTTTTGTTAAGTATGACAAATATTTATAAAGAATTCACATTTTACAATAGCCAAACTACTGTTGAGCACACTCGTTTGCCATAGTTTTTTCTGAGTTAACATGAGTGGGCTGTTGGTACTTTATCCTCTTCCTTTCAGTTCTCCAGTTCTCCTCCTCTTCGCTGCTTTGATGAGTTTGATCCTCATTCTTGCTATTGGAGTCACTTACAGGAGACCTACAGGCAAATCATTCAGTTTGTGGTGGTTCAAATTACAGACCTTAAGTGCTAAAATGTAAATGTCATAAAACAACATTTAGTTAATTGTAACTACCATTATTGCTACTGTCACAGGAGTGTTTCTTTAAAAAGTAACATTTTAATTATTGCAAGTTAATGTAACTAACATTATTGCTACTGCCACATGGAGCGTTTCTTTAAAAGTTAAAATTTTAATGTCACTGTCAAAAAGTTCTGACAGTTGAAGTGCAAAAGGTTAACAACTATGTATTTATATTACTCAAATATCAGGCTACATTTCACAATGATTTAACAGTCCTTAAACAGTTCATCTTCTTAAAGTGTAGTCAATAAACCAATATCTCATGGGATTAAATGTCTTCGAGCTACAGGGTTCCTGAGAGGCAATGGTAGAGAGGGAAGTGATGGTCGAGGAGCAAGTGTTCTCATAAAACCCAGGAAGAGGAAGATGACAAAGACTGTAAAGTTGACACAGCGCAGCAGAAAGGAGAAGGGTTGGCATGCAGAGGTTGGCACTGACCTGGGCGCATCAGGAATGCAGACTGGGGGATCCTCACAGATTCGGACAGACTTGCTTTCACGGGACATGACAGGGTTGGCTTCTGTGGGTTGTGCAGACTGCAAGGGGATCACAACCGGCTTCTCAACAGGATGACTGAGGGTTTTTTCCTCTGTACTAGAGCCCTTGCTTGGCTCAGTGTCCATGGTTGCAGGTTCCTCTTTGCTAGGTGCCGATTTTTCCTCTGGAACAGCTACAGGAAACTTCTCCCGGCGGCGTTTCTGTACTTGTACTTTGTTCACCTCTGAATACATAACAATGGTACATTTATTACCAGCACATATTAGCAGCGCAAAGATGAATTACAGCAGTTATCCAATAGAGTGCAATAGCACCCGCCCACTTTTTCAGTGGCCTTGGTTCCAAAGTATTTTTCCCATACATATTTTTAAAAAGTACATACTCAAAAAGTACAAATACAGTCTTAGTCTTTATTTTTCCCATACAACGTTTTAAAGAGTTAAATGCCATAAACTGAAACCAACCTGCTAATCATATCAGCTGAGTTAATCACATTACAACCTTTGATTTGAAGCAAAAAAAAATTACAGACAAAAGATACAGACTGTGTAATTAACATCTTTTATGAGGAATAAAACTTTACTTAATATTCTAATGATTTTTTGCATAAAAGAAAAATCAATCATTCTGACACATACAATGTATTTTTGGCTATTGCTAGAGATATACCCCAGCGACTTAAGACTGGTTTTGTGGTCCAGGGTCACATATGAAAAGTAGTTTGACAGCACAGGGTGCCTGACTACCACGTCTTTTGCAATGCTTCGTGGAAATGAGTGCTAAAGAGTTTTTTTTATTAATTTGCTTGTCGTGATTGTAAATTGGTGGAGAGTTCTTTGCAGAATCATACCAATGATTAACATCCTCACAGATCGCAGTAGATCAGTCTTAGACTTAGATTTATGTTATTGTTAAAAATCAATTATCCTCTCGAGAAAATTAAAGGAATTTTTACTTCCGGAACCGACTGTTGCACTCTATTACACAATAAACAGGTTTATGTAGAAAACTAATGTTCAGAGATGGAGTAAAAATTACCGTTAGGTATATATTTCATCTTTAGTTCTTCAAGCTTGACTTGGAGCCTCATATTGTCACTGTGTCTTTGTTTTAGTGCTTGCTCTGTGCCATAAAGTTTCCTCTCCAACTCCAACACTCTCTGACTTTCAGAGAGAGCCTTCATTCTCGCCATGGACAACTCATCCTTCAGTTTCTCTGCATCTTTCCTATACACATGCATGTCATGATTGTTTTGAAAAGTTCTAAAGTAACACCACCAGTACAAATAACTGATGAGAGAATACTTACTTTGAATTTGAAAGTTGCATTTTTAATAGGTCTGTGTAATAAGTCTCATCCATAACCTCGCCTTCTTTAGAGGGGGCAGGTGGATGCTGGTCTTTTACAGTCATCTGTTGGTGACGTCACATTAGCATTAGTTATTACTATTAATTTCCCAAACTGTAATATGTTTCATCATTTCTGTTGAATGTGATATGCTAAGCTCACCTTCGCTTTCTCCAGCTCTCTTACTTTCATCATCAAGCTTTCTATCTCATTGTTTTTGTCAGATAACATGAATTGCAGTCGTTCAAGCTGTGCTGGGTCAGCCCTGTTGCCCTGGAGCTGCATAAGGGTGGCTATCTGCATCTAAAACGGCACACACAAAGAAAACAATAATGTGGATAAAAATGTAAATAAATTATTAAAAATTTCTCAGAAACCACTATTTACCTTCATGCGGTGCATATGTTGCTTGGTGAGAGCATGCTGCTTTTGTAGAGACTCATGCTGTCGTTTCATGCTTTTCAGCTGCCGCTCCATCTCTGCTCTCTTGTCCTCTACCTGTGCAAATCCAAATATTTTGTGTCATGGCACAAAGCAATTTAAGTGTAACCTCTCAAAACATTTAGTAACTACAGTTTTATTATTATGAAGCAACCATGGAAATATTTGGAGTAGCTGTCCCATATTAACAGTTTATAGAAAAAAAAAATGGTATTGCATTGGTATTATAAAATGTAATTCAGATGCTCTTGAAATTAATCTTTAGTTACAATGAAAGCTCTTGGCAGACATAAATATCATAAAGCCAAGTAGTAGAAGTAACACTTAATGCTGTACCTCAGAAAATAAAGAATTGCCTTTGCTGTTTGGATCTTGGGCCTGCTGCAATTTTTTTTTTTTTTAATCTTTAAAAAATATATAATCTTTGACTTAATTAGGTTTTCCCCTCAATCAGCACAGAAAATGTGCATCAGAATTCCATGTGGGCCTACTTATCACTATAAGACATATTTTTCTAGAGTATTACCTACATTATCCATGTCAATATAACAATACCGTTCAAAAATGTTTAGGGAAATTAATACTTTTGTTCTACAGGAATGCATTAAATTGATCCAGATTGATCTAAAACTACAAAAATGTTACAAAAATATATATTTTATACAATTTTTTTTTGTTCTTTCTATTTCTCAAAGAATCCTGAAAAAAAAAATATATTACGGTTATCACAAAAATACCAAGACAACTTTTTTCAACTGTGATAATATTAAAAAATGTTTTTTCAGCATCACATCAGCATATTAAAATGATTTCTGAAGGAACATGTGACACTGAAGACAGCTGAAAACTTAGCTTTGCCATCACAGGAATAAACTAAATTTTAAAATATATTAAAATACAAAACAGTTATTTAAATTGTAATAATATTTTACAATATTACTTTTTACTGTATTTTTTATCTAATAAATGCAGCCTTGGTGAGTATAAGAGACTTCGTTTAAAATATCTTACAGACTTTTGAAAGGTAGTGTAAATACATGTTTCATAAACATGTTTACTTGAAAATGCTTATAGACGTACCTCCAAAGAATTGTAGCAGGACACTGCCTCTCTCTCTCTCTCTTCCTTCTCTTCCGTGAGTCTCTCTAGTTGTCTCTGGAGGGTGGTGTTGGCCAAATGTAGTTGCTCTTCTTTGTATCGTGCCTCCTGAAGCTCTTGCTCCAAAGTCGCCTGCAAGACAAGGTCACACTTCAGCACCAAGGGCACACTGATAGTGCTGGGCGATAAAACGTTATCATATTCAGTCACGATAAAATTTAAGTCAATAACAATGACAAGCTCTGGACATTTTTACTCAACATGAATTAACTGGTGTCAGTTCGCAAGCTTTTCACAATTTCATTTGAGAAAAATATTAATAATAATAATAATATTTTTAAAGAATATTATACAACCAATTACCACAGTTATTCAGTGCTGTTGTAAGCATAAAAATACAATGTTTCATTGTAAATTGTTTTCATTATATTTTAGAAGATTGATTAAACTGTTAAAGATGTATTAATTCATTAATTATTCAATTTGCATTGAACCATAAAACACAGAATCCAGGAAAAATAGAATGGAAAACAGAATTTAGAGGAAAATAAAACAGATTTCATGGGGCCCTAAATTAAAAGGTAGCTCTGTGGAGTTCAATTGTGAACAAACAAATTATCTTAGCATTTATTCTCAAAACTAACAAACATGTGGAAAGCATTTCCTTCCCCATTAATGGTAAATTAATTTTGTGATAAATATAGATATTGTATGATATGTAAAAAAAATTATATTTTTGGCCATATCACCAAGCCCTACACACTGACATTCCTTATTTCTATGAAACCACTTGCATCCATTAAAAATAAAGACTGGAAAGTACTCTACCATTGCTGATTCCATATCCATCTTCTGCATTTGCAGCTCAAGGATCTCGGAGGACATTGTTTCATGTGCACGTTCTGTAAGGACACGAAGTTCTTCGGTTTTGCTGTTTAGTGCTTCAGACTGCTGGTCCAGCTTGTGTCTCATCTGCTTCTCAGCAAGTTGAGCCTCCTCTAAATCTGTCTTCATTTTTTCCAACTACAAAGACATTTCATCAGCACCACAGATGAGATAACATTTCTTTTCAGGACAATAAGCTATACAATAAGTACCTTTTTGAAATTATGCTTCAACTCAAGTTTTTTGCTACTAATGGCATCACCAAATGCAAAAATTTTAATTGTTTTCTAATAGGTTTCCTGAACACTCCGCCATTTCCAGTGGTCAGAAATTATTGTAACATTTTAAAAAATGACATGCGTCAGCTTTAACGGATAAAAACATGGAAAATGTATGAATCCTCTGGGAACTCCTGCTTTATATTGAAAAAAAAAAAACTTCTGAACACCAAAAGAGCATATGAGCTGACCTTATTCTTTAAATCGCTGAGCTCAAGAGCATGGCTCCTCTCCAGCAGAGTTTGTTGCTGCTCCATTTGATGTTTCTGTTGGTTTCTGACGAGATCAAATTCTGATCGCAGACTCTCCAGCATGCGGGCCTTTAGCTCAACATCCCTTTGTAAAGAGTATTTCTCTTGTTCCAGGGCCTGCATTTGGAGAATTTAGCACATTTAAGGAATCATTCACTGATCGACTGGACTGTCAATCATTATACTGTGTGTGGAGATCAAATGCTGCAAATCAGTGCTGGGTCAGTACCTCAATGACATTGGACATCTCGATTCGTTGTTCCTCCAATTTGTTGTGCAGATCCATTTTGTCATCCAAGAGTTGAAGTCCATACTGTCCAGCCCTCTGAAGTGCCTCTTCTCCTTCCTGCACCTTCCGCCGCAACACTTTAATCTCATCCTCTAGATCTGACATCTGAAATTAGAGAGAAAAAAATGTGATCATTTACCCGTGTACAAGCATGTGTATGACTTTTTGTCATATATATATATATGAGACAAACACACACACACACCGCTGTTCAAAAGTTTGGGATCAGTAAGACTTTTAATGTGTTTTAAATAAGTCTCTTCTGCTCATCATGGCTGTATTCATTTGATCAGAAATACAGAAAAAACAGTAATATTGTAAAATATTATTATTATCATTTAAAATAATGGTTTTATAATTTAATATATCATTTATTTCTGTGATGCAAAGCTGATTTTTCATCATTACTCCAGTCTTCAGTGTCACATGATCCTTCAGAAATCATATGCTGATTTATTATTAGTGCTGGAAATAGTTGTGCTGCTTAATATTTTTTGCAACCTGTGATATTTTTTTCAGGATTATTTGATGAATAAAGTTCAAAAGAACAGTGTTTTTTTTATAGATTTTTTTTCTAACAAGAAAAGTCTTTATTATCACTTTTTTTTGTTTTAATCAATTTAACATCCCTAAATAATGTTCTTTTTAACTTTTTATTCATCAAAGAATCTTGAAAAAAGTATCACAGGTTCCAAAAAATATATTAAGCTGCAAAACTGTTTCCAACATTGATATTAAATCAGCATATTAGAATGATTTCTGAAGGATCATGTGACACTGAAGACTGGAGTGATGGCTGATGAAAATTCAGCTTTGTCATCACAGAAATAAATTACATTTTAAAGTATATTAAAATAGAAAACCATTATTTTAAATTGCAATAATAATTCACAATATTACTGTTTTTTACTGTAATTCTGATCAAATAAATGCAACCATGATGAGCAGAAGAGACTTTTTTCAAAAACATTACAAATATTACTGGTCGCAAACTTTTGAGCAGCAGTGTGTGTGTGTGTATTATTTATTTATTTAAAGAAAATAGCCTCAGTCCAGCCCTGTTAGTCACCATTCACTTTCATTGCATCTTAGTCCACAGGGTAACATTTTGATTCTCCTTTAGTTTTTCATTGAAGAAAGAAAGTCATACAGGTCTGGAATAACATGAGCGTGAGTAAATGATGATATAATCTAATGTTTTTGATCAACTATAGCGTTAAACGCATTAGTTCTTTACGTTGGGCTAACGTTATCTGTGCAAACTACGATCAAAAACATCGCGTGGCATTGGTAATAAGCATGTTTTCTTAATGGCATGGCTAAATAACAGCTACACAGCAAAATACATGTCTAAATGTGTTTACCTTTGGATTTAAAGTTGGCGATAGCAATATTATATCTGAAGAATGTACTGCCCCCCAACCGCTTTCTTGCTCGGGAACTTTCAAAACGGCTAGTTTGAATTCTGCAGCAGTCGTCAATCACGTATCGCGAGAAAACACGAGGTTTCCAATCCTTCACAAAACACTGCTCTCTAGTGCCACTTTGTTGTCGTACTGGTTTTAACTAAACGCATTGATTTAGATCACAAAGGGTCAAAAATCGAACTTTATTTATTATTTGACACGAACTATCGTGGGCTGAAATGTTGCATTATAATATATAAACATATTAGCCTATATTAAAATATCAATACATAAAACATCACATTTATTTATATGACATTTATTACAATCCACAAATAAAAATGTTAAAACAACAACGAAAATGGAAATGCTTCGGTGGCTTGTTTTTTTTTTCTTTCTAATTTTGGCCCACTCTTGCAGGTATGAATGACATTGTAATAAACAATGGAGTATGAAACAGCATATAGGAATTAAGTATTTGGAATGACATCAACGATAGCACATTGGGGAAAAAAAGAAGATTTTTTTTTTACTTTAGAAAGTGTGAGGGGTGATGGAGTTACACATCAATCAACATTCATGGGGTTCCTGGGGAGGTTGTCAACAGCTCCGAATTGCTTGGATTTCAGTTTCTAAATAAACTGAGTTTGCATTCAAAATGGCCCTGTTTACATCTGGTATTAACATCCCTTTCGGGTGACCAGGTGTAAACAGAACCCATGAGTCACATCCTCATGTTTCTTGTGTCATTTGGATATGGGCATAAGTAATGAATTTCTACCTTAGTGTGCAATAGTGTCCTTACAGACAGTTAACCTAGTCATTGCACATCTAAAGTCTTTAGGTCAATTCAAAATATGCAGCCATAACAGCTTGAAACCTCATCTCACACTTAGACGATGGTTGTGTTTTGCATATTAAAAGGTGAGAACACTCTCATACAAAGCCATACTCTCCACCCATCAGCATTAAGTGTAACCAAATATCTGTTCTGTGGTAATAATAGCACAAAATGTGAAAGTCTCTTCACATAATTCTAACCAGAGGCGGAGAGTAGTGAAGTATTTTTACTCTGCTTTAAAAGTACTTTTCAAGTGTCTGTACTTTAGAAAAATTTACTTCACAACATTCCGAAGAATAATATTGTTCTTTTTACTGCACTACATTTCATATTAAATATTATTTAATACTTAATTACATTAGAAATCTAGTACTTTCTTACTTTTACTCAAGTAAAATTAATTCAAAGATTTGACTTGAGTACAAGAAAGTAGGCCTACTACATTTTTAATGTTCTTAAATATTAAAGGTAAAACAAACAACAACCTTTATTTACGAAATGTAGTGCAGTAAAAAGTATGATATTATGCTTTGGAATGTAGTGAAGTAAAGTTTTCAAAAGAAAAACACTCTGTTAACTACAGATACTTTTTAAATTTACTTGAGTAAAGGTAAAAATACTTCACTACTGTCCGCCTCTGACTGTTACACATGGTTATACTAATTTTGCATAATGCATACTAAAAACGGCATGTTTTATAGAAGACAAGTATGCATATTTGATAATTTTATTTTAAAATTACATTTAATTTGAAATGTTTTTGTGTTAGAAAAAAGGTTTTTAAAGATACAATTTAAAATTCAGTGATATATGTGATATGTGTGAGTTTTTGACACACAAAGCCCCAAGTGCCCGCAATTTTTCCAGCGATGGGGCGTGTCTTACTGCCGTAGAGAACATTGCGTCATGACGACAGTCGTTTAAAAAAAAAAGGCCTTTTCTTAACAGTTGACTCGTTACAGCGGTCTAGCAGCACGATATGTCAGGAATGGAGCAGCTTTGCAAACTTTTCGTTGGCGGCCTGAACGTCCAAACAACTAACGATGGCCTCCGCGCTCATTTTGAACAGTACGGGTCACTAACCGACTGCGTGGTTGTCCAAAACGATCAACTTCAGCGGTCTCGTTGTTTCGGCTTCGTAACCTACTCCTCCGCAGAGGAGGCTGATGCAGCAATGGCCGCCAGGCCACATGTGGTAGACGGTAAAACCGTAGAGCTAAAGAGAGCCGTGGCTCGGGAAGACGCCGGGAAGCCCGAAGCTCTCGCCAAAGTCAAGAAGATATTCATCGGGGGCCTAAAAGAAGACATCGAGGAGCACACCCTCACCGAGTATTTCTCTCAGTTCGGTATGATCGAGAAATCCGAAGTTATCACCGACAAAGACACCGGTAAGAAGCGTGGGTTCGGCTTTGTCCACTTCGAAGATAACGACTCGGCCGACAAAGCCGTCGTGCTCAAGTTCCACATGATCAACGGGCACAAAGTGGAGGTGAAAAAAGCGCTCACGAAACAAGAGATGCAGGCCGCCGGTGGAGTTCGGGGCGGCAGGGGGAGAGGAGGAGGAGGAAGAGGTATGGGCCGTAATCAAAATGGCTTCGGTGGCGGGAGAGGAGGCTACGGAGGTGGCTATGGCGGAGGCTACGGCGGCAGTGATGGCGGCTACGGCGGCGGCTATGGAGGAGGATACGGAGGAGGCTACGGCGAACAGATGGGAGGCTATGGCGGTGGTAACGGTTACAGTGACTTTGGCAGCGGATACGGCCAGCAGTCCTCCGGCTACGGGCCCATGAAGGGTGGAAACACGTACGCCGGCAGAGGGGGAGCCCCTTACACCCGTGGCGGCGGGCCTGGTTACGGCAGGGGTGGCTACGGAGGCTACTAAAGCGGGTTGGGAAAGACTCGGAAAGCTGTCCCCCTAGGTTCTCTCTCGGTTTCCACGTTGGGCTCATTCACCCGGCCATGCAAGAGATGGCGGACACTGTGAAAGCATACCTTAAAGACCTCAATTCTTAACAGGTAGGAAGAAGATCTCTTCCCAGAAACCTGACTTGCTCGACCAGCTTTAGTTTTAGGACGTGTTCTGTTATATATATATATATATATATATATATATATATATTAGATATCATTTATTTCTCTCGTTTTATG